TCAAAGATAGCCATTGGAGGCGTGATCACTCCTATTTTGCTTGGTGCTGGAGTTGAGTTGGGCACACCAGATGTTACAATGATCTTCCTAGATGTTCCTTATCTCAGTAAGATCGAATACCTTTCAGGAGCTGTTGAGACAGGATTTGGCTATCAGTTTGAGCTGGAAACCAGGAAGAGGAAGATCATATTGCCTAAACAGCGCTTAACCAACTTCACCTCCTATGAGAACATCCGATTCATGCCAATAGAAGATGAGCTTTATGACCCAAGGACCGACCCACCATTGATGAGGCCAAGCAAAGTGAAGAACATTAGCACCATCAGAGACTCAGATGTGGAAGAAGACATTGAAGAGCAGTATCAAGAACAAGAGGTTCAGCATCAAGGGATGGAGGAAGATGAGTATGAAGGCTATGATAGCCACCTTTATGCATTTGACTCCTATGATGTGATCTTCACATCTGAAGCTTCAAAGGTTGCACATGAGCACATTAGGCTTCTTCAGAGATGAAACCACTTCCAGGACAAAGCCATCAGAGGTTTCCTGAAGACAGTAAAAGCAAGCAAGAAATCGGTTGACTCATTGAAGAAAAAGAAGGAAACTTAAGAAGAAGTTGGGAGGATCTTCATCAGCCAAGAGATCTGATCAAGCAATCCAAACAGAGCCACAAGGAGGAGGATCTGATGCTGAAGACATGTCTGAGAACACACCAGAGAGGACAGTCCAAGAGAGACACTCATTCCACATCAGTGAGCGGCCAAGAACACAAGTTCCTCAACCGGCCAGGCATTCATCTCATGTAGCTGCTCCAAGGCAAAAAGGAAAGAAGAGAAGGACTAGACAGCAAACTCCATCAGAGGAGGAAGCTTCATCTTCCCATGCCATTGAGAGTTCAGACTCTCACCACTTCTCCACCTGAAGTAAGGTACACCACACTAACCACTGTAAATACCACTCGTTTTTTTTTTTAATTATTGCAATTATTTGCTTGATGTTTGTGAACACTCTCCTTAGCATTTTTATTACACAGGTACTGTGTAATTTTAAGTGTAGGGGAGGGTGTATGATGTACTGATGCTTGCATTTGCATTTGTATAGTAGAATAGGAACCATGCATCATGATTTCATAGCATCTAAGGCATAGATAAAAATTGAAAAATTGAAAAAAATTTCAAAAATTGTTTCACAAAAAGAGTTTGATTTTCATGAATTCTTATAGGATTTAGACTTCTTGCATTCATATAGTACTAGCTTGCTTGTTTAAACTGGGAACTATGATAGTATATCTTTGTTAATGCTAGTGATTTATGAAAATGAAGCCCTTGTTTTTAATCCTTTGGTGCATTTGATGTTGAACTATAAATAAAACTGAACCACTTTTGGAATTTGCATTTGTGTGAGCTTTGTTTGAGACTGAAGCATTCTTTAAAATGATTTCAACCTTTGTATAAGTGGAACCTAATTTGAATTCGTAATTATCATGCCTTATGCTTTTGTGATTGGTGTCATGGATAATTCAAAATATTTGGATCTTCTTATTCTCTTTTGCCACTCTCTAAAAGATCCATTTATATTTCCTCACTCTTAACTAAACCTTCTTTCAAGCCAAGACATTAATAGTGTGTGATTTGTGAGGCCTCTTCCTTCATTGTTGTTGCTTAGCAAAAAGTGTTGGGTTGAAACTACAAGGGAAGTATTCTCATTGTAGAACTAGCTCACTCTTGAGTTAGATAGGTTAGGAGATTTGGGGAATGGTTTGGGTTTATCTTGGGATTAGTTTTTAAGAGAGGCAAAGAAGAAAAGAAGGCAAGGCACAAAAGAAAAAGGACTGTGACACAAGCAAAAGGGTGGAAATGGTGATTCTAAACTCAAAGAAAGAAGGCTTGTGTTCAAAGAAGAAAAGAAGATGCAAGAAAGTCAAAAAGCCTAAGGCGAATCAAGCACCAGCATCTCCAAACAAAGGAGCCAGACTCAAAAGAAGCAAATCACCACCACTTTAAGTTCAAAAGAAGAAGTGTCCTCCGAAGCGCTTGAAGAAGAAAAGTTTTTGGGTTTTAAAAAGGGTTTGATTTCTTAAAAAAGGTAGCATAGGAGGGTTTTACACTGCTTAGCTAGAGTTAGGAACACATCTTATAGATCTTGGGTAGATGGGAGTCTTCATTTGTATGTGTAAATTGTTCTTTGACCCTTAGCATTTTGCCAAAGCACAACCATGCTTTTCCTTGAGAGAACCCTTTAAACATCAAAACCAGTTTGTGAAGTGGGATCATTTTTATTCCACTAAGCCTTGTCCCTTAGCCAAATGACACCTTCACATTTGCATAAGCATGATTCACGGTTTGAGCATAATTGAATGTTAAAAAGGTTGTTTGATTTGATGAGCATGTATAGGTTGCTTAGTGATCATCTTGTTTTGTGATGAAAGTGGCTAAGTATTTAAAGTATTCTTCCATCAAGTGCACTCTAGAATTAGGAACATGGACTTCATTTTGATTTATTGTTAGCATTTTCAAAGATATGATTTCCCATTTAAAACCTCATCACCATGTTAAGTGTTTATTTGCTTGAGGGCAAGCAAAAGCTAAGTGTGGGGGTGTTGATAGCTTGCTATTTTAGATCACTTTAGGCTGCATTTCATGCATCTTTTCCTCTGTTTTTGCATTATAGTTTAGCATTTTAGTATCATTTGCACTTAGAATCAACATAGCATGCATTTAGCTTAGGATTGCATACATTTGCATACATGTGCATGTTTGTGGTGGTTTTCAGGTGTTTTGGAGTTATTTGGAGCTGGGGAGGAGATGGAAGCAGCTCACGATCAAAGAAGATGTTAGAAATGGAGTTCTTACAAAGTTTGGTCCATATCGAGCAAGCATATCGAGCTGAACACATGTAGAGTATGCTCGATGCAAGCAGCAGGACGAGAGAAAAAGGATCAGCATGAGGATTCCAAGTCGTTGGTCTGCATCGAGGACCAGCATCAAGGAAAGACGTCGATATGCGCTGCACGGACCATGTCGAGGTCGCATATCGAGCAGAACATCGACCGTACAACCTCGATGCAACTCATCTGTGTTGACCACTTGACTTTTGTTAACCTTATCCTATCTTTTTAGGTTTTTTATGCTTTTTTGGCTCCCTACTATAAAAGGGAAGCCACAAAACATTATCTAAAGAAGTTATATCTTATCCAAGTTTAGCTTTTTTTTATAAACCTTCTCTAAACCTTAAAGGGCGATTTGCCTTAAGGATCCTTATCTTTAATAAAAGTTGCATTTTTATGGTTTAATCTTGTCCTTTAATCTTTGTTCTTGCACTTTGGTAGTTTAGATTTATCATCTTTGCAGTTTAACCTCATCTAGTCATGTTTAACTCCAAATCAATGGGTTTAAACATGATCAATAGTAGTTTAGTTTACTTTAGATTTAGGGTTCTAAGTAAGGAAAGTGGTGATTAATATATGATTAAGGGATGATTAGGCTTGTTTAATGGTTCTCTTATCTCCTTCTCTTGCAAAGTGCTTAATGTTGATAAAGCTTGCTCCTTTTGATTGAATATGGTTTGATAGATGCATATGGTTTGCTTGATATCTTGATATCTCTTTTCTAAGCATGGTTCGCTTATTTGGCTTGATAGTTTAGCTTAGTCTATGTTTTCTTTGTTCAGTGACACCAAAGTGATAGTCCACTACAGCTAGATGATTCGCTTAGGGCTAGATAATGCTGGTTTTGAGTTTCTTGCTTGATGGTTAAATAGTATGCATTGAAAGATCTTGCTTTTGCTTCATTCTTGTTCATTGCTTAGCTTTGTTAGGATGTCGCAAGTTTGTGCTTAAATCCATAATCTTGATTGGTGTATAGCTGCATAGGTCTTTATTGGTTCACAAGATTGATAAGTTAATCTGAATTCTTGCTTGGGTGAGAGAGTAGTTGCTTGATTAGTGCATCTCTTAGGCTAGAATGGTTCTGATCTTTATGTTCATGGTTGAAGGATACGCCATCACAAGTGGGTATGACACTTTGATCTTATTGAATATAAATTGTTTATTGACGTCAAGTGGTTCTCTTTAGATACCTTGTCTAGGAGCATAACATTGAGAATTGCTTGCTTTGTTAATGCTTGTTGAGTGCCTTAGTAGAAATCCCCTTGTCACTCTTGAAAACCATTGTCCCACAATTGCTTAGAACCTTGAGTCTTGCTTTTAATTAATTGTTTTTAAGATTATCTTGCTTAGTTCTTGCTTAGTTCTTATTTAGTTTTTGCTTAGTTCTTGCTTAGTCATTGCTTTAAGTTCATTGTTTAGTTTTGTTCACTTGCATTTAGTTTATGCTTTCTTTCCATTGTATTATTAGGTTGTTAGACTTGCTCTTACATAATCAAATCCATAATCTTGCTTAGCTTACAGCATTGTTTACATCTCATCTTCTACAATTTGGATTGATACATAATCCATATTCTACAACTGATTAGGCTAAGGACATTTTAGTTTAGACTGAAAAAATCCTTCTTCAACCTTCAACGGTGGTTGGTTGGTAATACATGTTAAACAATGTTTTTGTTTTGTGAGGGACGAGTTTTTACCTCGTCGCTGTTTTTGACAGAGTTACTACTATATCCCATTCCCATCACAACTATATGAATATCACATATTAAATTAACAACATCAAAATACTTGCATGGATTTTTTGAAACCAAAATGGTTTATACCTTTTTGTCAACGGGATGTGTATGTGATATTCGTATCAGAAAGATAGTACTATTATAGCAAAACTAAAACTTGTTCGATTTTTAGATCAATTTATTTAATTTAGTTCACTATGGTTCGAATTGATTTATTTTCGCTAGATTGTAACATTCCAAAATCTATAAGTTATTACAAAATGAAATGTAGACATTTTTTTTTTCGCTTAATCTTTGTCAGCATTACTAATTGTAGAAAGGACGTTTAGATATAGTGCAGGGAGTCTATAATGTTCCAAATCCTACGTAGCTTTTTTAGATGAATATAAATTTATAAGCCAATAATCCCTGTAAAATGGATTTGAATTGTGTTATGCTCTTATAGTTATATGATCAATCAGTTTTGCAAGAGCTGTGAAAGGCTCATATGTATTAGATTGAAAGGTGTGGATACAGAGGGATTCATGTAGCTTATCAGCAATAAAGTATTCTTGGATTTTAGACACGAAGAAAGACCAAACAACTACATTTTTTTTTACTCTCCTGAGATGTGAGAACTCTCATGGATCACCAACTCACTCATGCATAGTCCTGAAGGGCTTGTATGTCTTGACGCTACTTATCAGACCTGCGATGGATCCAGCTGCAGCTAAGAGCGAGACGACCAAGCAAACCCAGCATAACGTTTTCAGTGCAATCCATCGAGGAGAGTACTTCTTAATCTTAGTCTGTGCAATGTGCATCTCCACCGGGAAATAAACCGTTAAAGGCCAGAATGAAGCTGCTCCGATCAGACCCAAGATCGCGTTGAAGAAAGGGAAGATCATAGCTACCACAGTGGTTACAACCACATAAGCTGTCCTCCACACTAATCTGAAGAAGCTGATGCTGAATTTTCCAAGGAAAGGTATGTTTACTGAGTATTCAGAAGTTATGAACTTGTTGTCAGGCCAGCTTCTATTGCATCTCTTCTCAACAAACTGGAATATCGGCTGTGCAAATACCTGAAAACATATTTTTAATCATTAGCTAACCGAGAAAAGGCGCAAAAAACTGATTTTCTTGTTTTTGTTTGGGGTTTTACCTGATAGGCTCCAATAAGATGGACAGCTATGCAAGCGTTTGCAAAGTCAATGAGCCAAAAGGGTTCGTAAAATCCGAAATCTGTGAGGAAATCTCCAGGGGCTTTGTTTCCAAACGCAGCATAGCCCATACAGCCACATAACATGTAGAAGAAAGTGGTGGTTGATACTCCCACAAGGCTTGCTCTTTTCATAGATTTGTTCTCTGATGGGCTAGATTTTAATGTGTCCTGCAAAATGTAAAAACCTTTCACAGGTTAGTGTATGCAAATCCACTATGTATACACGTTAATCTATTTTTTTTCTCATGGGTTTTACTTATTCTTATTAAACCGGCATTATTTCTAGTCGACACATATACCCTATGGTACCAAATACCGTACGTTCAATAAATGGTGAAAACTACGATCATTATGAGACAAAATTTGTGAGTTGTAATGTCAACTCAATAAGCTTAATACTGCTGCTAAAAATTATGTCAATTGTTTGCTGTGGAGAAGAGATTGACAATATCTTTGAATGTGACTCTTTGTCCTTCATAAGCACATGTTATACTATATGCCTTTACGCTAAAAGACAGATTCTCTACTTTTTGACTCTTTTGTGTAAAGCAAACAAAAGTGGTCCACGGGGAATTGATTGTCACTGTCAATAATCTCTAACCACAATTCTATCAAGAGGTTCATATTTCAAAGATAATAAGATTCTAAAGAAATTTGATTGGTAAACTTGCCTGAATCTCGATGAGCACCGTGGCGTAAGCATACGCAAACGCTATGTCCCCAACAGCTTGAAACGATCTCCATATCTTCTGAGCTGCGGTTACATCAACTCCTACCACCGTACCGGTCAGATTCGTCTTACCAACTTTCCCACCTTCATCATATTGTGACATATCCACCGTTAGTTTTTGTTATCTTGTTAGGCCATATATATGGCTCCTAACTCGAATTGTTTGGAATTTAATAGTGATAGAAATCATTTTCAAATTACTAATAGACGACTGAATCATTTACCGATTGCTACTAATCAAATTAGTGTATTTATACTAAATAGTGATAGAAATCATTCTTAAATACTATTAGTAGACAAATTAGTGTGTTATACTAAATTATAAGCCGATTGCTACTTATAGGTGTTTTTTTTTTTTTTTTTGAACATTTGCTTTACTTATAGGTGTTTTGAAAACATAATTTAATAACCAATGGTTAACAATGGAAATATTGCTACGAATCCAATCTTAAAGGAAATTGTATGTACCTGCGACCACTGCGATGGCTAGGCCGATCCCAATGGTTGCGTAAGTGAAGGACATGACCGCAGCCATAAGGGAGAGGAAAGAGAGCTTGTGAAAGTTTGGGATCTGGCTAAGAATAATTTGAATGATCCCGAAGACTGCCATGTATGGATAATTCGATATAGTACAATCTGCACCGTGCCCTTTATCGTGGAAACAGTTCGATTTCCCGACCGCTCTGTCCAAACACCAATATCAAACCATCAGTATTTTTTTTGAACAAGTTAATTATATAACTAATCTATATTACCTTAAGAAAATGAACTGTACATTTGGTAAGAGTTATAAAGTAATAACATATTCACACATAGTTGACTTACACCAAACTAATAGAAGCAGTGATGGTGTACCCTACAGTGATGCCTATCAGATTCCCATACTGTGCCACTCCACAAAGCTGCACTTTCCTACCACCTGTCAATTTACAATAATTGCAAAGCATTATTTAGAGTCTATTATTATGTTATTAGTTATGTTTTTATGCTTTTAATTAATCTTCTGTTTCATAAAGCAAACACAAAACACTCCACGGAACTATATATAATACTAAATACTCCATCAACATCCAAAACCAACAATAATGCTAATACTACCAAAACCGCTTGCCTCATATGTCAAAATATTCTTAAATTTCTGTTTTCCTCGGGTTACACAATTTGGATCATTATAAACGGTACAAAAAATGAATATAGTAATAATCTATTGAAGATAATATTTGAAAACCTCCAGAAAAGTTTCAGCCTATTTAATTATTTCAACAACCATATATTAGTGTATATACGAAAGGACGGTTATAACACTTGTACACTCAAGTGAATGTGTTTTTACTTGAAAGAAATTTGTAGGACATAAAATTCTCAATTATTTTTTCCGTAAACCAAAATTTCAGGGATTTAAAGGTAACACTAGAAATCTAAAATGTTCATTTACTACATCTACAATCCTAACCACAACCAATTGGAACGTATAATTGAAATCTAAAAAATTTCGAGTTTTCGAGTTTTACAGTGAAGACAATGTTTTACTTAAAATAAACTTGTAGGACTAAAATTCACAGTTCTTTTTGGGTAAAATTATATTTGCAGGGCACTGGAAAATATAAAAGTTCATTTACTACGTACAGCTACTACAATCCTAACCACAACCAATGGGATGCACAACTCTTGAATTTTTATTGAACGAGACAACATACTTTTAGAACGTTTTAGATATAATCCTTGTGAAAACTAAAACCCAAGCCTAATTAGTTATTTTAACAAAAGGACGGTTACCAGAATTTTACAGGTATTCAATTTTTATATATAAAAAAAGATATGCAATTTGTAGGAATTATAATCCATAGATTTTATTTCTAGAAAACTAAATGGGCAGGGATTTTAAAGGAAATACTAGAAAAATAAAAGTCCATTTTACTACATCTACATTCCTAACCACAGCCTCTCGGATGCACATACTTTTAGTTTGTTTCATAAAGATATGAAGGATGATTTTTTATGATTCCTCTCGAATTTTATAACATCAGCTATTTTATAAACCACGATCAGTATCTAATTTAATGAAATAGAACCTTTAAAAAAAAACAGGAGCATGCCTTTAGAATAACATTTTCTTCACAAAATTGAGAATTTCGTAAAGAACCTTTTTTCGCAAAATAAATAAATAAATACGGTTGGTGTAAAAGTGTAGATTTTTAATCTCCCTTTACAAGAAAAAGGTAAGAAAAAAAGAGACAAAAAAAAAAGAAAAAACATACCGAGGTAAGAACTAACAACGTCCATGTAAGTGTAATTTCGTTTTCCGGTGACGGGATCCGGCGCACGGTAGCAATCAGCGAGCATCGTAGAAGTGAAATAAGTGATGAAAGAGAAAATGATCAAAATCAAAATCCCTGCGATCCAACCAAGCTGAGCTATCGCCCATGCTAACGACAAAACTCCCGAGCCTATCACCGCCGTGATAATATGCGCACTCGCCGTAAGCCATGTCCCCGTCCTCTTCTCTCGGCCGTCGTCGTCCACGTTCTTTCCAGGATCAGACACGGAGTAAACGTCGCCGGATTCCGCCGCAGAGTGATTGTGTTCGGTGTTTAAACTCTTCATAGTGAGAGCGAGAGAGAGAAGCAAAGAGGAAGCAGAGAGGAAGGAAAGAGTAAATGTGGTAAGTCAGAGAGTAAATGAAGAAGTCTAATTATAGTCAACAGATTTGTCTCGGCATAATATCATATATATAGACATACTTCTATATGTACAAATAATATATTGTAGTTGTAGCATATATGCCAACGAGACGTATACGTAAATACGTGTTCAATTTCAACTTTTATTTTCTCATTAATGTTTTTGATGTTTTCTTTTTTATATGGCTTGGGATGTGTGATTTCTCTCGACTAGACTTTGAGCCCACCTATGGGGGGAGGATTTTAATGTTCAGATTCTTTAATGTTTATTGAATTGTTTTTCCTAATATCAATATGAACTACAGAGAAAAAGAATTTGCTATCTATATGAAAATGGTATACATATTCGCTATAATCGAAAGAAAAATTCTTTTGTAGCAAAAATGAAATTTTTTTACTGTACAATGTACACAAAATCTTTATCATTGTATTTTCTTTTTGAAAAATCTCAAAGATATACTTTCAAGAACCCTTTAACAAAAAATATATACTTTCAAGAACGTTAAACTAATCTATATGTTCGAAATAAACTCTTTACTCCCTAAAATTCATAAAACACATTCCCAAAATTTTAAAGATGCTCAATTTTAAAACATATTCTGAAACAAAACCTGGTATAATCTTATATATATATATATATATATAATATTATTTATTATAAATTTAAGAGCTATTTTTAATTTAATATTAATGATCGATGTTCAGTTTTGGTTATTTTGTGTAAGAAATGAGAAGGTAGATTTTACTCATTGTTTTGAAATTTTGTTACTTATTGATGAAGAAATTATATTAAAACAATGCTTATCATCAAGCCATGGCAGTAGTTGATTGTTTAGGTGATAATTGTAACTTTTGGTCTCAACAAAAAAATAGTTTTGACTCTTCTTCCAAAATAAAATAAAAGAGATAAAACAAAAAGTTTAAATTTGATGAAAGGTAAAAGTTATACGTCAAAATTATGGTTATTTTACTACAAGGTTGCCTTATAAAATGTTAATCACTACTAATCACTTCTTCGCTATCAGTAAGTGGGTAACTGGAAAAGGTTAAATGATACAAATGCTCTTTCACAAAGCAAGTAGACGGTTACATAGATCCATCGTCCTTTTGCTCTTATTTTTTATATATTTTCAGGAGTTCTTGTACAAATGGTGACTCATTTACTGCAAAATGAGAAAATAAAGAAGAAATAGAATTGAATTACTATTAGTATTAGGCTATTAGCTAATATAAGATTCCATATTAGTTCCATACACCTAGCTATTTCATTAAAGAAAATGTTTTTTTGCAACTTTTTTTAGATACATATCCCATAATTTTTAAAACAAAAGTATATATCGAGAATAACAAAAATATTTTAGATTCTTTTATTTATGAAAAAATATTCTACTAAAATTATAATGAAAAGGACAACTATGATGAGTAAATTGAATTCCAAAAGTTAAAACATTATAGTTTTCCAAAGAGACTTCTCATTTTGCAAATAGCTCTAACACCTCTGAAGAGACAAGTTGTTTCAATTTGTTCAATGAAACTATTTCAACGGATGAACAATGTGTCTTTGAAATCGAATAACAAATGGCTAGTCTTATTTTTATAATGATCAACAAAAGACTTATATGTGAAAGTTTGACTTCTCTGTCTCCTGTTACGTATTAGGTGTACTCACATAATCACATGGGTTATCTTTTAATCCATATTTTCTAGAAAGATTCAAGACCTAATAAAAACTTAAATAAACAGTAATGGCGTTTATTGAATCTTTTAACAAATGGCATGGGGAGACAGGCCCTCTCAGTAACGCCTCAGAATCTGGGGTTATTTAAAAACATGTGGTGATGAATCTTCACTTACCCATAGTTGGAACATCAAGTGCCACACGGTTCATGCAAGATAATTAAGCCAAAACAATAAAATAATTAATTATGATTGTTTGGTTGTAAATCACATAGTATATATTTTTTAATATTAAATTTATGTGCAAACCTAACGGTCCACGTGATGTCACTAAAATGCCTCGTATTTGAAGTTTTCATGCATTTAAGATTTGTTTTCAACGAAACAGTTAATATATATTATTTTTTTGTTAGAGGGCCTTCAACGAGACATTTTATATGTGTGTCCGTTAAGGCGTTAGCAGTGTATATGTAGACTGATGGAGATAACTGAGTAACTCTATAGTAGAGCCAATTTTCAATTCGATGTAAGAATGTTTATTCCTTTATACAGTAAAACCTTTATAAATTAATAATATTAGAATTCTTAAATTTTATTAATTTATAGAATTATTAATTTATCAATAAATTAATATTTTATTAATTTATAAAGATATTTTGAGTTTGGATTTTTAATATTTATCAAAAAACAAAATCAATATTTTTAACAATGTAAAATTCATTCAAAAATGTCATAATAATGAATTTAGAAGATAAATCAAAACAAATTTTATAAACCTGAAACAACAATATTATCATAATTTACTATATTATATTATTAATATATATATATATAAATGTATAATTATTAATTTATATTACTATTGAGACCATATTTTTACATAGAACTTTCAAAAAAGTATTATTTTATTATCTTATCGAATTTTGTCAAATTTTACACTGGCCCGACTTAAAACCCAAAAGAATTATTAATTTATAATGATTGTTAATTTATCGAGTATTAGTTTATAGAAATTCTACTGTAGTTTGAAAAATGACACTAATCAAGTTTTTTTTAGTTCAAACATTTCTTTCATTAATCTTAACCTTGAAGATTACATTGAAACAAATTAAAAAAATTGAAAGTGCTAAAGACTAAAACAGAATGAGCAACATAAGTGATTACAGCGAATCCAAAGAAATCTAAAATTATCAAGCTATTAATTTGGAAAAATTCACAAATATACTGTTATTGAAAATAATTAGACATGTACTTTATTAATGATTTCAGTAGTGTGTTTTAGAAAGAAAAAAAAACATTACATACAAGATAGAAAAATCTAAATTTAATGATTTAAATGGATATTGCATAGAAATTTACTAATATACATATCATAATAATTTTGCTAAATTCATCAAAATCATTTAAAATTTATGAAAAATCAGATCATTCAAGATATATACACTTGAATACACTCCAAATATGAATGAATAATACTGGAGTTGTTAAAATATTATATTAGTTAATTTTGCGTATATATCTTTCAGTGTATTGTGTAAATCTATCTCTTTTTTATTACCTCTAATATCAGTCTCTCTATTAAAAGAAATACTATAAATTTTATAATTTAATATTAACATAATTTTGATATTATTTAACATAATAAATTTGATTATATAAAATAGTTATAAATTTTTAATATTTCAGAGGTTAATGTTCTGCAAAAAGCTTTATCTGAAAGTATAGAGGGAAAGAGAATTTGCAAACCATTTATATTTCGAAATGCCCTGCTAAGTGCATTATTAACAAAATTTAACTGGGTGATAAAAAAGTCTAACGTTTTTTAAGAACTCTACCTTTCATGTAATGTGAGATTGTCACATAGTACAGAACAACGATCTTGTAAACTTTAGTAAAAATTTATGTTTTCCTTATCTCTATTTTCGATGATTTTTCAACGGTGTCCCAGTTGGATATGCAACTGTTGTTAATCCAATCGTGTTTATTAAGAAGGAGCGATACACCAATGCACACACTGACACACATCTTCTCCATCACCCATTCTTTAGAACAATGGAGAGCCAAGAACAAATTTAGCAAAACAATAAACAACAAATTTTGCATACACTGAGAAATTTATGATCTGAAATTTTCTCTTATTATTCACAGACCTAAAGGCCATTCCTTATATACACATACATATACCTTTTAACGATAAAACCAAATCTAAGAGAATATATAACAAATATATAAAGATACAAACTAAATGGAAATACTGCCATATTGTGGAAGATATGTCCTTGGTGCTTAAGTATTTCCTAATACCCTTCCTCAAGTTGGAGCATGCAAGTCTCTAATGCCCAACTTGAAACGAAAATCGTCAAACTCCTTACGCCCAAGAGCTTTTGTGAGAATGTCCGCAAGCTGATCTTGAGAAGCAACATGGGAAGTAGTAATCGTGCCGCGAATGATCTCATCTCGAATAAAATGACAATCCGACTCGATGTGCTTAGTACGTTCATGAAAAACAGGATTAGCACTAATATGAATAGCAGCCTGATTGTCACACCGAATAGTCATAGGAGCATCATGAGAAATATCAAACGCCAAGAGTAAAGACTTGAGCCATTTTAGCTCACGTAAAACTTCCCTCATTGTCCGATACTCTGCCTCAGCGGATGATAAAGAAACGACGTCTTGTTTCTTCGTTTTCCATGAGATCGGAGAAGAGCCAAGCTGAACAATCCAACCTGAAACAGATCGTCGTGTCGTAGGGCAACCAGCCCAATCAGAGTCGCACCATCCTGTTAAATGAAAAGGTGAGTCGGCCCGTAGTAAAATGCCCTGTCCAAGAGTACCTTTAAGATAACGAACCACATGTAAGGCAGCCTCCCAATGTTCTGCTCGCGGTTGATGCATAAACTGAGAAAGCAAATGAATCGAGTAGGCAAGATCAGGTCGAGTTGCTGAAAGATACACCAGGCGACCAACAAGTCGTCGATAAGCAGCTGGTGCATCAAGAAGATCACCGGAAGCTAACGCAAGCCGATGTTTCTGATCTATCGGAAAGCCCGCCGGTTTGCAGCCTAAGAGACCAACCTCCGTTAAAATGTCCGTGCTATACTTTCGTTGACACAAGTAAAACCCCTCCTTACTTCGTGCCACTTCAATCCCCAAGAAGTACTTAAGAAATCCAAGATCATTCATATGAAAACGAGTTGAAAGAAAGGTCTTGAATTTCTCAATAAACGATGAGGAGTTTCCAGAAATGATCAAATCATCAACATACACAAGCACACGTAACACAAGTCCTTCCTTGGAGTAGACGAAAAGAGAGTAATCTGCATGAGTATTAACGAAGCCAAAGTCGCGAAGTGCAGAAGCTAGTTTTGAAAACCAGCAACGAGGTGCTTGTTTTAAACCATAGATAGATTTTCGAAGACGACAAACCCGAGAGTCAGATTCAGAACGAAACCCGGGAGGAAGCTTCATATAA